TTTGTTATTTTACAAACGATGGATCGGACAATGTCGCGAGAGTCAGGTCAAACGTTAGCCGTTTCGCGTCTTTCGAGATTATCGTCGCTGGTGGCAAAAGGCAGAACGGTCGGAGCGGTTTTGCTCGCTCGTGAAAGTCGTGAACCTTCACCTGTAATCCGATTCTTCGCGCATCTGTTTCGCCCGCCGTATCGGAGGAATGAGAGGATAAAGAAAGGAACGGTGTACGAAGATGAATTGCGCAGGTTAATTCGCCCACTGCCGGCGGATTAACAACGGTAGAAAAAAAAAAGAAAGAAAGAAAGAAAGAAAGTTCCATAGACGTGTAACTGTAGACGTTGCCGGGTACGATTTATAGATCCTGAACAACGAGAGAGAGAACGGTACTGTGCGCGCCAAGTGTTGTTAATGTCGAGGACTCTACACGCGAAACGGTGTACCATCGTGGCCAGACAGCCACGGTGAAAGCACTGTTAATTGCTCTTCGCACGATCGACTTGCCGAATTTGAGAAAATTTTTCGCGATTCATCCTCAATTAGCACGCTTCCCTCCGCCGCTCGTTGCAAACAAACGTTCCGGCCCTCACGAGTCGCATACACGTTTCAACAATTTTAGATAATATCACGCGCTGTTGTAACATTAAATCAGCCGTAGTTTGTTCATTTATTTATCCCGTCGAAAGTTGTTAAAAAAACGAAACGTCGAAAGAAGAAACGTCGTTAGAACGTGGCGTGCTATGAAAATTTGACGCAATTCGAAGATCTACAAGGTGTTTCATAACATGTGGGATCTCGGGAGCTGATTGTACGCCTGAAAACAATGAAAAAAAGTCATATAAATATATGTCCTATCTGTCTTCGTTTATGAGATATGAATTTTCTGTTTTAATTACTTTTACAAAAGATGTGAAGAAATGACTACTTTGTATTTGAAGACAAGCCTGCGTCTTGTCATTGATCTGGTTACTCTGTCTATCATTCCTGGTGTTTCTCGAATTTGTCGAAGGCCTCGCTCTATTCTATTTCGTAGCATTTCAGCATGTTCAATCGATATTGCGTACACAGTAGATTTTAAATGTCCCCACAAATGAAAATCTAATGGATTCAAATCCGGAGAACGAGCAGGCCATGCAACAAAACCTCGACGACCAATCCATTTATTTGCAAAGTGTTGATTTAAAAATTACCACTCGGCTAAAATGCGGCGGAGCTCCATCATACATAAACCGTATACCGCATTTTAAATCAACACTTTGCAAATAAATGGATTGGTCGTGGAGATCCTATTGCATGGCCTGCTCGTTTTCCGGATTTGAATCCATTAGATTTTCACTTGTGGGGATATTTAAAATCTATTGTATACGCAACATCGATTGAAAATGCTGAAATACCATAGTATAGAAGTGCTATGGTATACTTCGATTGAAAATGCTGAAATACCATAGTATAGAAGTGCTATGGTATACTTCGATTGAAAATGCTGAAATACCATAGTATAGAAGTGCTATGGTATACTTCGATTGAAAATGCTGAAATACTATAGTATAGAAATAGAATAAAGCAAGGCTTCCGACAAATTCGAGAAACACCAGAAATGACAGAGAGAGTAGCCAGATCAATGACAAGACGCGCGCAGACTTGTCTTTAAATGCAAGGTGGTCATTTTAAGCATCTTTTGTAAAAGTGATTAAAACAGAAAATTCATTATATCTCATGAACGAAGACAGATGGGACATTTGTCTCTCATATTTGTATGACTCTTTTTCATTATTTTTACTCGTACAATCAGCTCACTCCCGAAGTGGGTCCCACAAGTTACGAAACACCCTGTATTTCACGAGAAACGTACGAAGCGAAGTGGAGAATGGCAGAATAATACCGCTCGTGCAGAGCGGCGGATTTATTCGATTTGCTCGATTTCACGGGCAAGAGGAGCGCAATTAGTTGCCAGCCTACCAGCTTGCAACCGATCGAAGCGAAGACGTATCCCTGGTTAATCGAGTTGCCTAAACGAAGCGCAAACCGTCGGTCACGAGAGCGCGATCCTGTTTCTCTCTCTCTCTCTCTTTCTCTCTCTTCGTGCGCACCTGTTACGTCGTTGACGAAGGAAAGGAGGGCTCCTCGGTGAGTTCATCCAACCACCGTTGATCGAGCACACTCGCCTCGCCGTTCCCCCTGATTTCAAGCTGGGTAATTGCCGAGGCGCGAGCTGCCCGCGAGGGAAATCTCCGCGTTCCCATCTTCCGTGCAACAATTGGAAACCGGATAGGACGGGATCGATCGGCGTTCAACGGATGCAAGTGAACGACCGGATGGATCATTACGCGGATCCAGCCACAAACGTCACGCTGAAGTCGCATAAATATCTATAAACGTTCGTTCGGCTGCGCGTGAACGTGAAAGCTCGGCCGTTAATCATTAAGGATCACCGGGAGACGAGCGTGAGTCGAGTCCTTCGTAGACACGTAAAACACGTTTGCACGCGCGTATGTGTGTGTGTGTGTGTGTGTGTGTGTGTGTGTGGTTATGTAGAACAGGGTAAAATATGCAGCTGCACGTCGTGATTGGTGTACCCTGTGGTTGAGGTTGAAAAATAGACGGCTGTTGGCCGCGCGAAAGCGCGGAAGGTGCCTTACATTTAAGCACACGCCGGTTGACGCAAGGAGTGGTGGCAGGTTTCTGCGTTTAAGGGAGTATTCTAGTGTGAACTTGTGAAAAAACCGATGCCGAAATTAGTCGAACAAATAATTAAGAAACGCGGTGGATATATCGACGAAAAGAAAAATTAATTTTCTTGTGCAAAATTAATGTTATTATTACTATGTATAATATATATAATATTATAATATTATAATATATTATAAAAATTATAATATTATATATTATATATATATATAGTAAAATATATATAATATTAAACGCGGTGGATATATCGACGAAAAGAAAATTTAATTTTCTTGTGCAAAATTAATGTTATTATTACGATATATAATATATATAATATTAGATATTATATATATATAATATAATATATATAATATTAAACGCGGTGGATATATCGACGAAAAGAAAATTTAATTTTCTTGTGCAAAATTAATATTATTATTACTATATATAATATATATAATATTAGATATTATATATATATAACATAATATATATAATATTAAACGCGGTGGATATATCGACGAAAAGAAAATTTAATTTTCTTGTGCAAAATTAATGTTATTATTACTATATATAATATATATAATATTATATATTATATATATATATATATATAATATAATATATATAATATTAAACGCGGTGGATATATCGACGAAAAGAAAATTTAACTTTCTTGTGCAAAATTATTATTACTATATATAGTATATATATACAATATAATATATATAATATTATAATGTAAACTATATATACCTCTCCCAGCTTAATACAACTAACTTTGAAGTAAATTGAAGAAATTACAACAATTTCCTAATTTATTTAATTGTTTTCCAAATTTATTTAATTCATAATTTATATCATAATTTATTTAATGATAAATCATAATTTATTTAATGGTCTTCCAAATTTATTTCATTTTCTGCAAGTGTCCCAATACTTCTGGAGAGGGGAGTATACACCCCGCTCTTGTAGTTAAAATCATCATGTAGGTACGATCCATGTCCGCACGATCTATCCTTCGTCGTCCCTTTGAAAAATCACTTTGGGGGAAGCCAAATCGAATTCATCGGAACGACAGAGACACCACTCGGATATCTGTTCGTGGAGCACACACCGTGGCCGAGCGTCAGAGTCGGTGAAACATGCGCGATTGCTGGCGGTTCGAGGGGGGCCACGGGTACGTAACGGTAAAGATCGAGCAACAGCCGGGCTAAAAGTCGCAGCGTGAATACGTGTGCGCACACGCGTACGTATGTATGTACGTCCGTCGCGGCGGCGTGAGTTTTCGTTTCACGGTCAGAAGGATAATCCTTCTCTCTGTCACTTCTCATTCGTCTTTCTGTCCCCCTGGCTAATTGAGTTGCTCCGGCCCCGGCCACGGATCTCTGTCACGTTTCATTCCCTCCCCGTCTCCGTTTCACCGTCGACATCCGAACGACGAAACCGTCGTTTCCAGGGATATACGGTGCGTATATTACTCTCCACGGCCATGGACGAAATTGGATTTCGTCATTCTCGCCACCTGTAAGAACAGGGCCAACCTGTTACACGCCTACCTCGCCTCTTTCTCTTCTCTTTCTGTATTTTTGCCAGGAAGGAAGGACACGACGACGCTCGCACCGAGGAGATATATGAATATGTCGTGGTGATCGTATAATCCGGCGGTTGAACGCGACCGCGGAAAATAATCCGACATTTATGCCCTCGTGGTATGCCGTAGGCGGATTAATCGTTTGTGTTTTAACTTCCATTCACGCCCTTTGTGCCCCGCGTGACCGAGCGCCGGTTTATTGTTCGTCACACGCGGAGATTAGTCCTTTGGAAAGCCCGTTGAATTATGATCGCCGGTGGCTCTTCTTCCTTCTGCGTTATTGGAAGGCCACCGCGGTATGCCGCGGCGGAGAGAAGCCAAGGAAACGGATGGATGGGAATAAAATAGCCTCGCGTTGCTGTGTTCGCGGATTGTAATGCGAAGACGCGCGATTTTTCATTGTATGTGGCGCGAATAAAGGCGCTTGAAATTCCTGCGTGCGCAAACAACTCCGAAGCCAGGGCCGAGATTCATCTTTCAGCTTCGGAAGAATGAAGCATCGAAGTTGGCGGAGTTGGTTTCAAAACACGTTCTACGCGAAGTAATCACACTTTGTAATAGACAATTTATAAAATTTTCAGTCACCTCGAGCGTCCTCCTTTTCAGTTTCACTCTCACTCTCACTGCAAAGTTATTGCAATTCAAAGAATCGCCACAGTGGTATCCAAAGGATATATCTTCCATCGCGTTCACAAAAGTTCACGTGACTAATTGTCCAACTGCTTGGCTTATGTTCCAGCGGTTTGCAAGGAGGGTTGCCACCCAGTGCACGGCCACTGCAACGTGAGCGGCGAGTGCAAGTGTCGACACGGATGGCGCGGTGAACTGTGCGACCAGTGCACACCGTATCCCGGCTGCAAGCACGGATACTGCAACGGTTCCAGCTGGCAGTGTATCTGCGACACGAACTGGGGTGGTATCCTCTGCGACCAGGATCTCAACTATTGCGGCACGCACGAGCCCTGTCAGAACGGTGGCACGTGTGAGAATACAGCGCCAGATCAATATAAGTGCACCTGTCCCGAGGGATTCTCCGGACCGACTTGCGAGAAAGTCGACAATCCCTGCGCCTCCAACCCTTGCGTCAATGGAGCGACCTGCAGAGAACTGGGAGAGAGCGCTCATTGCGAATGCGCTCCTGGATTCTCCGGGCCTTACTGCGTCACGGACATCGACGAATGCGCGTCCCAACCTTGCCAAAACGGAGGCACCTGCGTTGATGGGAAGAACGGGTTCGCGTGCAACTGTCCACCAGCCTGGCAGGGCATCCTGTGTCAGTTCGACGTGGACGAGTGCGCCTTGAAGGAATCGCCGTGCAAGAATTCGCTGACCTGCGTGAACCTTGCTGGCGACTATAAGTAAGTGGGAACGTCATTTGCTCGTCATTTCATGTACCTGATCGTGTAACACTTGAAACTCTCGCTGAAGTTAAATCTGAAGTGAGATCTTTCAGTCTTTCAGCCTTGCGTTATCAATTAGAAACAGAACGATGCTTTGATATTAGACAAATGTAAAAAAGACGACAATGCCAAAATTTGCTTGTTGGCGACAAATTGTTCTCATTACTAAATTGGTCATTACTAAACTTAAACTCGATCTGATTTCAGGTGTCGCTGCAGGAGCGGTTTCACGGGGAAAAATTGCACGAAGAACATCAACGACTGCGTCGGCCAGTGTCAACACGGAGCGCTGTGCATCGACCTGGTCGACGACTATCACTGCAGCTGTACCGCGGGATATTCAGGCAAGGATTGCGACGTGGACATCGACGAGTGCGCCTCGAAGCCTTGCCAAAACGGCGGCGAATGCAGAGACCTGGTGAACTCTTACGAGTGCGTGTGCCCAGTCGGTTTCACCGGATATCAATGCGAGATCGACAGGGATCACTGCAGCCCGAATCCATGCAGAAATTCTGCGCCATGCTTCAACACGCAAACGGACTACTATTGCCACTGTCCAGAACAGTGGCAGGGGAAGAACTGTTCCGAGCCGGCAGCCCATAATCCGCAATTCGGCGTCATGGATGAAGAGTCTGGCTGCGGTAGCGAGGGCACGCCATGCGGAGGCAGAGGCAGATGCAGCGGCGGTAGATGTATTTGCGATCCTGGATACACAGGGATGCACTGCCACGAGAACATCAACGATTGCAGAGGGAATCCTTGCTTGAACGGCGGCACTTGCGTCGATTTGGTTAACTCGTTCCAGTGTATCTGCAGGGAGGGATGGACTGGAGATTTATGCGATCAAGGTGAGCGGATATATTCAAAGTCGGAGTAAAATCCTGTCCAAACCGATTCTACTTACATTTAGCCTCTTGCAGTGGAATGACATAACAGTGCTTGTTATTTGCCTCTAAACTGCAATACGACACGAACTGCGTCAAGTGAATTCTACGTCGACTGAATTCATTGTTCGAAATACATACCTCGCGTCGGGTTCTTTTCGAATGTGTTGCTTGGACTTTTGCGAGAAATTAATTTCCAGCGCAAGAGGTTAAAGATGATTTAAGAACACTGAAAACTAGATTTATCAGTTGATTCTATTTTAGACGTAGACGAGTGCACAGCCTCCCCTTGTCGCAACAACGGCACCTGCGTCGACGGAGTGGCGGACTTCACCTGCATTTGTAGAGACGGCTGGAAAGGGAAAACCTGCGCCCTTCGTGCCGGCCACTGCGAACCTGGTACGTGTCGCCACGGTGGAACTTGTCAGGATCGTGGTGATGGATTCACCTGTCATTGTCCTCCAGGATGGGAGGGAGCTGCCTGTCACATAGCGTCGCCAGCGTGCGCGAGTAATCCTTGCGAGAACGGAGCGACCTGCGTGAACACCGCCGATGGCAATTACAGATGCGTCTGTCGCGAAGGTTTCGAGGGGCCGAACTGTCGTCGAGACGTTGACGATTGTCAACCGTTACCGTGTTTAAACGGAGGGAAATGCGTAGACGGAATCAATTGGTTCAGGTGCGAATGTGCAGCAGGTTTCACCGGTCCGGACTGTCGGATAAACGTGAACGAATGCGCCAGTGACCCCTGCACAAGTGGATCGACATGCGTGGACGGTATAGCGATCTACTCCTGCATCTGTCCGCCAGATAGAACCGGTGCTCGCTGCGAGATCCGCACCGCCGGTGGCCCAGGATGCCCCATAGCCAGCTGGGACGACGACTGCAACGTCTGCGAGTGCAGAAACGGCAAGAGCCAATGTAGCAATATCTGGTGCGGTCCTGGCAACTGTCTGAATGGTACATCGTGCCTAGCTCACGAGGTCTGTGTACCCAGTCCAAGCGAGAGTTGCCTGGCTCCGTCGTGTCTAGCTTGGGGTGAATGTCGTCCAATAGAAACCGGAAGAAGAGTAGGACCACCTGCTCTGCCTGCGCCGCCTTCTTGTTGGCCTGGACAGGCCACACCAGGTCCAACCTGTTCCAGATTGACCATCTTGTTAAGAAGAGACACTCTCGCCACAGGCACGTCCGTCGAGATCCTCTGCAGACGATTGAGGAAGCTCCTAGCTGACCCAAGAAGGCCGCAATCCATCGTTCTTCTGTGCGATCTTAAACCTGGAGACAACGACACAGTGGAAGTGACTGTCTTCTCCGAAGCAGCCGCGGACGCGGCCAGAGATCTAGGTGAAGCTCTCAGCAGACCTCTGGGCAGACCTCTCGCTCTGGCCTCCGTGCTGGAGGTCAAAGTGGAGACGGCCTTGCTCAGTGAGCCAAGTTCCGTGAACTCCAACAGCGCCGGTAGCTACGTGGCCGTTCTAGGCGGAGCTCTGGCGACAATTTTAGTCCTCGCGCTGTTCGGTGGACTGTGGTATCTTAGAACGATCAGACAGAGATCGAGTTTGACCGCAACGACCAGCAGCGAGACCTCGTTGCATCGGCATCGTAGCGATTTGGACGAAAAGTCGAACAATCTTCAAAACGAGGAGAACCTGAGGAGATACGCGAATCCCTTGAAAGATCAGGATCAAGGAGAGCCAAGGGTCTCCGTGGTGAGACCTCTGTCGGGGACTTCGTTGGCTCTTGGCGCGACAGAAGAAAGTTTGGAGATGGTCTCCGAGGACAGTAGACATCGTTTGCCACCGCTTTACAAACCTCCGAGCGCCGAGGCCAGGAACAACACTGCCAGTTTCACGTACGAAGAAGGACCCCACAAGCCGTACAGTAAACCAAGACTCCAGGAGCCGACGTATTCTTCTCACCAGCAACCAGGCACTAGCCAGACTTCAGGATCCCATCAAGTGCTCACGGTTCACGTGTAACACGATGGACTTGCGAATGTTTAAATACATCGACCTTCGAGGAAAAAAATATTGTCCATACTTTCGGACGAAGAGAACAGCTGCCAAGGACATCAAGGAAGAATGATCATTAATGATTGGCTTAGTTTTAACGAACAGATCGCACGGATCTCTCACTTTAGGAAATTAAATTGTGAAAAATTGTGCATTCCGTTTCGAGAAGTTCCCTCTTCTTCGTCGAGTGATATAAAAACATGGAAGACATAGAACGATGCAGAAGGGAAGGGACATATTTCTTTTTCAACAAGGTTTCATTGATAAAAAGGAAAAGATTGTTTGAACAGAACCGTTTTTATCACAAAAGAGATCATCGTTCTCTATCTTCCTCAAGATGAATCCCCTCGCTATTCCACGACAATAATCGACGGTCTACAATTATATATCAACAGCGCCGAGTTGTTTTATCGTTGTACATATGTATATAGCCCGTACTTATTAATTTCGCTAAGCCTGTATCACCTCTGAACGCCGTCGTCCCTATGGACAGCCTTAAGGTCTAACTATCGACGTTGTATCCGCGTTAAAATCGTAGGCATTCATGCACGATCCGAAGCCGAGAACACGGCCAATTAACGACAGCCACCGAATACGTTTTCGTAGAGCTATAGGCGAATAGCACGTAGGCGAATTAATCTTGCGTGAACGGAGGCTTCGGATGTTCCGTTGGACGATATTATTGTGATACTCATAGAGCGAACGAGAGAAGGAGTGCGAGAGAGAATATCGTAGAGTTTATCCATCGTGACACCCTCTTTGATAAGTTACGAGCCGATTAATCGATCGTTTCAGCCAGCGATCGGCCTGAAAAAATAATTCGTTCGTCGATTAATTCACTGGTCTTTTTTTTAAGATTTCTCAATGATTTTCAACAGTTTCATAAATATTGCAGGAAAAATCAGTTATTTCGTTGATGATGTTCATAAATGCTGATCAAGTGAATTAAAAAGAAGAGAACGATGTATTTTTTTCTGTAGACAGAGGGCGCGTACGGAGGATTTTTGCCAACGACGAGAAGCGACAAACGACACGGTCGCACGATCGAAGCGACGTATAATGTAAATAGATCCACAGTACATAGATGCAGATACTTTCCTGCCCCTTTTTTTTTTTTTTTTTTTTTTTTTTTTTTTTGGATCTCCCTCACCTATATCCTCCTATCTTCTCCCTGTTAGATGTGCAATTTTTATTTCTTTTTTCTCTTCTCTCTCTTAGTTCCAAGCGTGTGACAACGCGATCAACGACGCACGAAAAGCACACGTGTTACTAGACTTTCATCGAGGAGAAGATCGCATAAACTCGTATTAGGCATACGTAAGCTGTAACGGAAGAAAAATTTTTATAACAGATAGTTTATTTTATAAAGAAATCTATATTATTATACAAAATATATAAAAGCGATGGAAAAATATATATATATATAAATATATATATATATATATTATATTATTTTATATTATATTATATTATTTTTTATTTTTTTTTTATTTCCTTTTATTAATTTGTTGAGAGAACACGGACAACAGTTCCCCCCCCCCCCCCCGGTAACTCGAAATTCTGCTTATCGATCTACGATCGATCGAAAAAAAAAATGATCTCGTCGAGATTTTTCTTCTTCGCTTGCAATTGAGGCGAACTAATGTCCCTGGTCCCTGATCCTTAGATAGCTAATGGATAATCCACGCGTTGTGATCAGCCCCGTGTCAAATAAGCGCGAAGGAAGCATAAGCGAGTGCGTGTAAATAAAGTTAAGCTCCTTCCGATTCCCGCAATCATTTTTATTTTTATTTTCTTTTTTTTTTTTTTTCACCTATGATTACAATGACAACGACGACGACGACTGTGACGAAAAACGACGAGGACGATGATGATGGTGATGATGATGAACGAGTTTCAATAAAAAGTACAACCCTTAAAACACCGTTTGGTTTTCACTGGTTTTCACTCTGTCTCTACCCGAATGCAACAGGCCGAACGAATTCTCTCACGTGGTGAGAGTCGACGTCCGCGCAGGTTGCATTCAAATCACCGGGAACGCAGAATCGTAAGGAGACGTGCCTTCCGGGGGCAGCTGCCACAAGCGAACAACACCAGAAGCAGAACGGAACGGGACAACGCGTCTCGGATTTAATCGCGTTTAAACGAATGTGGAAAGTCTGTTGGAAACGAAACACTTGGCGGTATGACGAATAGAGTAATGTCACGTTACGTGTTAATCGAAGAGAATGGTCAATTAGTGGAAGAAAATCGTGGGTATACCGAAGATTCAGAGACTAGTAAGAAATTTGAAATACCAAAATGTCAGGATGACTCTGAGCTCGTTTATAATTTGACTCGACTCGTACAACGAATTCAAATATAAAAATTCTCGAACATTCATTTATGTTCGTCGCTACGTGTACATTTTTACTTGCTTCTTTATATTCTTTAATTTTCGTAAAAGAAATTCGTAAGATGAAATAAAAAGCAGTAGCTGGTGCTATACAGATGATGTTTCAACGTTCTTATCTACAAATGAAATGCTCCACGTGTCGGACATCAGTTTTTTTTCAGTCATTCTGAGCGCTCAGTCTAAACCAATCGCTGGAGAACAATCGTGGCCGTTGGATCCGGCAAAACCGGCCACGGATTTCAATAGATCGTTTCATTGAGGATAATACAGTGTTCATTAACATCGAAAGCGCGTCTGAGATTAACAAAGGACCCGTGTAAGCAATTTCGTGAGACGTTGGGACGGTAAATCGGTGGCCATCGGGACGATCTTAACCACGGTACTTACACAAGCCGCGTATACAAACCGCGTGACTGCTGAATGAACGATCTGCCGAAATTACAATACAATGGCCCAGAAGAGCCACTTGACGAATACTCGGTAAATGAGTCAGCCCTGTTGCTCCTCGGCCGAATAAGGTCCGTGTGAACCACCAGGTCCAAGAGCACCGTCACCGTATAAAACGGATGCCTTGAGAAAGCGCAAGAGCCAAGGTTACAGGCCCGAGCTCTATAATACCATGAAATACGACGCGCTTTAACACCTATGAATACCATCTACAGATATCGCGAACCCTCCACCAAACGATGTCCAACATCTGACACGAGAAATCTGAGTAGTATAAATCTGAAAATGCGAAATACTTCTACGTATGACGAAAAATTTGTTCACGATATGAACGTTTCCCGAAAGTCTCGATAAATCCTGAATGTCTTGTTTGAAGTGTTGCGGAAATCTTGAAAGTTTCGAGAGTTTTCGATGGATTTTAAGAGTAACGGAATATAAGTATTCGATGTCCGATCCCTCTTTCAAGCGTTTCAAATAACGTATACTTTGTTCAAGCGATACGCTGACGTTAAATATTAATGAAAGCCTGGAATTAATACAGTTAAAGATTAATAATGTAGATATAAATACAGTTTAATACAGTTAAAGATAAATAATGTAGATATAAATACAGTTTAATACGGTTAAAGATTAATAATGTAGATGTAAATACAGTTTAATACAGTTAAAGATTAATAATGTAGATATAAATACAGTTTAATACGGTTAAAGATTAATAATGTAGATGTAAATACAGCTTAATACAGTTAAAGATTAATAATGTAGATATAAATACAGTTTAATACAGTTAAAGATTAATAATGTAGGTATAAATTTAGATTAGATTAAAAATGTAAACGTTACTGCTAAGACTGTCACTGCCAAAAGGTCAAGATAACTTCAAGCGATGTCGATCTCATTATCAATTGAACCTTCGCCGCAAACACATCGGCCTGAATTCCTAACTACATCTTACCATAAATTTCTAAACATTTTAATTGTTTAAACGTTATTTATAATGCTTTAATTATCACAATTAAGTTCTAATTAAAAATTTTCAATTTAAAACATTTATATCCTTAATACATTTTCGCGATACTTTTAAACATTAGTTCAACAATTCATAAATATTTAATTAAAGTATTATTTAATAATTTCAGTCCCGTTTAATAATTATTAATAAATATCCTATTAAATTTTAATATTAATAAATAACCGATTAAACGAAAATTTATGTTCGAAGTTATGTAAAACTTATCGTGCATGCCTCTAATTATGTTCATGAACAATTTTGATTCAAATATTGAATGCAGTTTGCAAGAAATTAAATATTATTTGGAAGAGCGCTTCGGTCTATTGAATAAAATTTGTAAATCTCCATTAATGCATTCTCCAAGTCGAATAGAACGTTGATAAGGAAACAATGTAGGATGTTTAGAAAAAAAACAATGAAGACACAACCGCAAAAGTTTGCAAATTAATCCTCAAATAAAAATTTAAAATTTAAATACTGTGAAATAGCGCCGCGTAGCGGTGAAGCGGCTAAAATCTATTACCGTCTTTGTTGCATACTCGTGCGCTCTTTATCTGCCACACAGTATAAGTGCGACAAGAACAGCAATAGATTTTTAGTTCCGTTATTTCACCGCTACGCGATGCTAGCATTTCACTGTCTATAAATTAAATAAATTTTCATTTGCAAACACAAACTAATTAAAAGGATCAATTTACGAATTTTTGCAGCTGTATTCTCAGAATTGAACTATCAGCTTCTCTCCTACGTGGTGACCTGTAAAATGTATGTATAAAATTTTGAAACCTCTCGCAATAGATCGATACACCCTTATGTATATGTATGCAACTACGAATTCAAATTTCAAATTGCCTGAAATAGTGATTTGAAAGTGATCCTTTCTCGATCATTCTCATTGTCCATATGTGATAACTTCGTGTCATAAAAATTTAAAATTATGTTACCGACATATTAATAAAATAAATAAAAACGAAAGAGAACGTATTAATTAAAAAGTTCAAGTTGGGCAAGACAAAAAAGAATGGAGCCTTTCGAAGCGTCTGAAGTAATTCCGTACGCTTCTCATCATTCTGAAATTCTATTTCCTATGAGAAACATACGTTTCAGAGAATATTTGATTTGAAAAATATTACTGAATTGCCGGATTCTTACTTGAACTATTACGGAAACGAGTGGGAATTTCTGGGCGATGAGGAGGAAGAGGTAATTCTGGAAGAAGAGGAGGAGGAGGAGGAGGAGGAGGAGGAAGAGAGAGAACCAGAAGAAGTGGACATTTTTGCGGATTTTCCGGAGTTCGTGGTCAAGAAAAAAATTAGACTCGAACTAGAAAAAGAAAAGCTGCGAAAAATCATTGATGTAATTCCAATCGAAATTCAATAAAAAGAAAAAAAGAGAGAGATCGTTTTCGTATAGAAAAAATATATAAAGAAACATTAAATTAAATTAAATTTTTAGATAAAAGAAGAGAAATATTTATCGGAGGAAACGCTGATCACTCCGGAAGAGGAATCGATCGTTTCTGTCGAATTGTCCGTAGAAAGTTCTATTCACCATTGTCTCAAAGATATAGATATCAGCGATTCCCAATTGAAATTACAAAATCTATACACGATATTTCCAATTCCTGACGATCCTGGTTTGGTGCCCGCGTTCTGGATCATTCACGAACGTAAAATCGAATCTTATCCAGATGACAGTGTGCTGAAATTTTTCGACTTGGCAAAGGCATCTCACATCAGACCTATACAGGCCTTGGAGGATATGTTACTGTCTGAGAGAATTAATTTGCAGTATTATGGAATCAATCCGCGTGCCATTAGACCTCTTTGCGAAGCTCTGATGAAAAATCCTTTTGTACATTTAGTCAATCTCACAGTAAGATAAATAGCCTTCCATGAAAATTAACAAATATTGGTATAATGTTAGCGCGAATGAAAGTAGTATCACAATTAACAGAAATACTTTGATTGATATTAAGGAAATTTCATTAAAATTGCGAAAAGAAAAGAAAAAAATCTTGAACATATTCGCCCGAAATAATATTATTTCACAGGGCAATTGGTTATCAGAAGATGCTTGTTATCATCTAAACGATCTCCTTCAGAACAACAACATAATACACACATTGTTGTTATCAGGATGCAAAATTGGCGCAAAAGGTGCCGCGAAACTTCACGATGGAATTTCGGAGAATGTAACATTGAAGAAATTAGATCTCTCTGATTGTAACATTGGTAACGAAGGTTTAGACCATATCACCGATGCAATGTGCGATAACGAGAGCATCGAAACTCTTTTAATCAACGATAATAATCTCGATGAATCTTGCGCGGGAACTTTACAAAGATTGCTCTCCTGTTCGAAGACAGTGAAGCGTTTAGGATTGTCATGGAATTCTTTGTACACCGCAGAAACTTGGAAGAAACTGATCAGAGGGTTCGAAAACAATGAAGTCTTAGTCGATCTTGATTTATCGTGGAATGCTTTAGGGGAAGAATGCGTTCCATATATTCGCCGATTATTAATGCGTTCTTTGTCATTGAAAAAATTACATTTAAATGGTAATATAAAGATCATACTTTTCTTTTAATACAAAGATCTCTTGTCTTTACTAGAACTTTACTAGATCAGAATAATGAACGGTTGATATTTAGAAACTAATTTAATGTCTAATACTATATTATATTTCAATCACATTCAGGAAATCGATTTTACAATGAAGATGTAGAAACCATAGCGAAAGGATTATCAAAAAATACAAAACTCGAGGAGCTATATATGGGTAACAACCCTATAAAAGCTGAAGGAGCACTTAATCTTGTTAAAGCAGTTACACCTGACAAATCGCCTGAAAGTCCATTACGTATTTTGGATCTTACGAATATTTGGGCAAATAAAAAAATATTACCGGAGCTTGAAACAATTCAAAATAGGAAACCGTGGCTTGACATTAAGTTAGGAGGAATACTTAGCAATTATAAAGTGAAAGATCCCGATATACAAGCAATACTTTTGAGGAGAGCCAAATATGAATCCATGAAACCAAAGAAAAAACAACATCGCAGAAACTTTGGCCACTTTGTGTTATCACTTTCTGACGGTCCTATTTCAAGAGGTATATGTATACAAAAATAAAAATAATGTTACAATTATAGTAAGTGAAATTAACATTACAGGGATGTTTGTAAAACTAATAAAAAAATTTCGATTGAAGTTATCTCAATCTCTAATAAATGAATTAATAAATGCATTTGCTGATGTAAGGCATGATGTCGATCAGGAATTATTAAAATCTGTCTATATGAAACATTTTCCAAACACAAAACTTCCGCTGGAAAAACCTGTTAAAAAAAGAAAAATTAACGGACCAAATAAAAAAAAAGAGAAAAAGACAAAAACAAAAGAAAAAATACAGCTATGAAAATGAATGTTATGATTTATTACAATATTCTAACTTATAATTTAAATAAAGTATAATTATATTACAACTATATTTTTTAACAAATAGGAAATAAATACAATACAAAACATTATAAAAAAATTACCAATTAAATTGTAAAGTTTGATGAATTTCTTAATATTAGTCTATGTAAAATATTCTAGCTGAAATATCGTCAACAATCCAATTTATTCCCTCCACGAGATTTTCTCCCGTAACTGCTGAACATTTGTATATTTGCCAATGATGAGTCTTAATACTGGGCAATTCTAAAATTTCTGCAATGTCAGATGCAGATAATGCTCCAGGCAAATCTTGTTTATTTGCAAGTATTAATAGACTTGCACCTTCTAATCTTTCCTCTTGTAAGAGTTTATATAATTCTATCTTGCAATCCTCCAATCTTCTTCTATCTGCACTATCAATTACCCATATAAGACCATCTGTAGATTCAAAATAATTTCTCCAGTAAGAACGCAATGACTTTTGACCACCCACGTCCCATACGTTTAATTTATATCCACGATGTTCCAAAGTTTTAATATTAAAACCAAGAGTTGGTGATATTGTATCAATTGGTTCTCCGTTAATTCTTTTTAAAACTGTTGTTTTGCCAGCATTATCTAAACCTCTGTAAATATATAAAATATAAAAGATACACAAAACAGTTTTATAAAAATATATGTCAAATTATTCAGTATACATGTATATATATATTTTTTTTAATATAAAATATCAATGTAAATGACACCATAACCTAAAAATATTAAAACACGTAAAAATAAAAATACGTACAACATTAAAATACGCATTTCTTTTTCCTTTTGCTTCAACTTCTTAAGTACTGTTAGCAACCCCATAATTAATTACATCAGGGATATCACTGATCACAATTTTATACACATAGTGTGCATCCAAAAGATATAAAGCTCTTCAACTTGACAACCTTAACCTCTATTGAAAACAACAATGTCAAATATAACACTTAAATATAAAATTACAATATAGTCAATATTTTGTCATATGTGTACATTCAATATTAATAATAAATGAAATACCAAGAATAATTTATTAAAATATATTAATAAATATATTAATAAATTTATTAAAATATATATTAAAAATTATACAACATATATTAAGATAAAAGTAATTCTGTGACTTTATTAACAACGTCAGGATGGCAAAGTGCATTAACAATATTTTCAGTCGTATGTTGAATAAAAGGATAAGCATTCTTTGCATCACTATCAGTTTCAGAATTGTCTTTTAACAAATCAATATAGTTTTCAGAAAATCTGTCCCTCTTCATTTTCACAAATTCTTCTAATTTTGTTCTACTAAGTTCATGAAGTAACTTTACATAAGCTGGATACTCTGTTGCTAAATCTTTAGCAGTCCATACAGTACGTTTTTTTCTTTTAGCAGATAAGTCTACATTTGCCACAGTTTTGCATTCTTCAACAGCAATATTTAGCTGATAAATAAATTTTAATTTTAAACTCATAATTAATATCAATATAGTTTAAATTACTGATTTTTATTATACATTACCAAGTTTATACAATCAGATTCATCAGGTACATTACTGACATCCTTTCCAATTCTAGCCACTATTAATTTAACAATGGCTTCCTTAACTCTTGATATATTATCTGTTATTATTGGTAGCCATATATTAACACTAACAGTTAATTCTAATGATTCAACATAATGCCACCAACCAGGAGGAACAAGTAATACATCTCCTGGTTCTAAAGTTATTAATCTTGCTGTGTCTTCTATCTTTAATATATTAATTTCATCTTCTTTAGTAGGACAGAAAAAATTATATTTACTATATATTGTAGATTCTTCATAAGGAATTCTTGTTGGCTGGAGAAAATTACTTGAACTTGGAGGAAACAATAACCACTGTTTCCTAAAAAAAAAATAAATAATTTTATTTCTTTGATATAATTCTTGTTTTCATTTTTACATATATAACAAACCTTCCATGAATTTGGGCAACTAAATTACAACCATAAGAATCCTGATGACAATTTGTGTGAGCTCCTTTGCTTCCAATCCAAAGAGTAGAATCATTACCAGTTTTATCAATATTAAACCTTTCCCAATTTATTGAATTTATTATTTCTGATTTATCTTTGAACCACTCTTGCATATACTTATAATCAAAGTAATACCATTCTTTACTATCTTCATGGAAGTTCATGTTTTGAATAAAGTCTAATAGTGTCATTGAAACTATTGAACAATTCACCTCCCATTGTGGACTCTAAAAAAAATATGAAATATTTTTTAGAATTTGTCACAACAATATCTAAATACAAATTTAGAAAAAAACAGATTGACTAAAGCAACAGCAATTTACCATAGTTCCAGCATTATAACCAATTCGAAATGGTAATTTAATATCGCCGAATCTTTCAGCAAGTTCTGATAAATTCCATTCTAATAATTTCCAATAATATTCACCTTTCTCATTTTGCAACATTTGTTGAAATACTACTGGCTCTTTAATTTCCATAATAGCTTGATGTATAACCTTTTTTGATGGTGAATTTAATTTATCCATCGTTGTAAATTATTTGTTCTTCTCAAATATCAAAATTAATTAGTTTATAAATTATCCCATTTGAAAATATAAATTCAATTTTATTTATTATATTAGTTCTTAAAATATTAAATGTTTATTCTTTTATATAAATGTTTATAAATAGAATAAATATTTCATTAATAAAATTAAAATAATTTTTGTGAATAATAAATATGCTTACAAAAATTAAAAATTTTGTTTAACTTTTTAAATTATAGGTTATGTGTACAATGTACTTATATACAAGTGTTTATATATATATACGTGCACACGCCTATCATGTTGTGTGTATTTTGCTAACTGACCTCCAGATTCACTCTGTGGTCAGTTAACAAGGCAGTATTCCACATTCTAACCTAAAAATAATTTCACAGTAGTAAATATGTTGAAGTACACGCAACTGTGTCTAAATTATTTAAAATCACACTCAACACTTCTTTCTCATCAGAATAATGTATTGGTGCAACAAAGCCGGGTAATATATCTTATAATCTATTTTGTAGAATATATGAAATCAAAGATTAAGTACTTCGAAAATAAAGAATTATATATTGTTTTTCATTTTAGAACACATATATCTTAAAAAGAAAATATCCGGCACCTCTTTATAAAAAACATCAGAGATTTCCACGGATGACACATAAACATTTCATTTATGAATATGTAGAAAATACAAATCGAAGAAAACAAAAAAAGATTGACTTAGTTTTGTTAGAGGATGTAAAAAACGTTGGTGAAAAAGGTGAGAAGGTTTCAATAACTTCTCAAAGAGCTTATGAGACTCTAATATTACCGAAATTGGCTGTATATGCAACTCCTGAAAATCTCAAAAAATATTTAATTGAAGATGAAATGAAAAAGAAATTGTCTCTAAATAGCTCTAAATTTGTAACAAGAACAATAGATATATTATCTCAATGTTATTTGCCAATAACAATGTCCATCGAAAATCCATGGACTATAGAAAAATGGCATGTGAGAGTAGCTTTTCGTAATGAAGGATACATTGTACCTGAAGATACTATAACTCTTCCAAAGAAGACTATAACTGGACCTGACTTAAACATAGAAAATAAAGAATTTTATGTTATTGTCAAAATTAATAATCAGGAGGAAGTAAAAGTCAGATGTAAAATACATCATTACACTTCTGATCCCGAAAACAAAGTTATATATGAAGTTCCATTTTACCAATTACCAAGCATAGCAATTTTTCCAGAAGATCAACCAATATTAGATTCCCTTCCAAAACATCCTTTAGCTGATAAAATAGATGATGATCTAAAAAAATAAATAATATATTATATTTTAGTAAATAAATTATTCATTTGACGAAATTAATTAATTTTTTCTACCTGTATTCACTTATGTACATATATATATATTTTAAGTTTTGCACAATTAAATAATATAATAAATAATTAAAATAATAATTATTTCCTTCAAGATACATCCATGTAAAATTATTTTCTTCGTTGATATAATTTCTTTTTATTGTAAATCGATATTTGTAAATATCTATATTTATAAAATACATGATATAGATATGTAATCAATAATTGATTTATATATCATTGAATAAGAATTTGCTTTTCACTTTTCATTTACAGTTAACCTGACTTCTTACTAATTCCATCATTGCCATAGTATCATAGTTAATTATTTTGCTACTTTAAAATGGAAGACAAATATTTTGGATGGGATGAAATTTCTAATGGATTAATTTTATTAGAGTAATGAAACATCTAAAAATTCAAATATCTCATATTTTTATATAAATTACGAATTATAATTTATACATAAATAAAATACGAATTAAATTAATATCTTTTTTTATGTTTGAATATTAGTACACAAAAGACTGAAGATGAGCATATTAAAAAAATTAAACTACAGTCTGATCTTGATCATCAATCAAAAGTATATTGTCCACACTCATATTTGATTTTAAATTTCCATGAAACCTTAAGTCAACGTGATAAGGTATATAATGAAAAGGAAAAAAATTTAGTTAAAATGCTGTCTATTATTTCTTTATTACATTATAAGCACATGTTTTTTCAGCTTAGATTTAGAAAATATTATTTAAGAAAAGTATCTCCAAACGAACCGGATGTTATTATTTTGCAAGATATAAAAGATCTTGTGATGTTCTTATTAATCAGTCCCATAAGTCCTCAATTTGTGAATTTCTTTCATTTACCAGTTGTGGATCGTTTTTTGAGGGCAGCAATCCTTTATTTTCAATATTATATAATAACATGGGAGGAATTAATGAAAGAACGTGCAGCTACTATGAAAAAAGCACCAAATCCCTTAGCTCAGGGCTATAGATTTAGATATGCAGAAGAAATGCAAAATCTTCGTTGTGTTTTAGGTAGAGAATATGCTGATTTAATAGTAGGTTGTCAAGATATCATTCAATATCATCATATGACTAGTGGAAAAAAAGGAGCTCCATCTTTAACACAATCACAAGGAGAAAAAGATTTACGAATATATGAGGTATTAATTTGTATGACACATCGTATTGTTTGGATAGCTTTAGAACGCAAGTATTTCAGTTTAATTGGTGAGTGAAAGCTATAAAAAGTATAATAAAATAAAAAGTATAAATCATCTATAAAAAAAAAATAAATAAAAAATTATATTCAAACAAAAAGTAGGATATTTATTGTAGAAATTGAATTGCATAGATTATTTAGAACTGAAACATATAATATAGCTGAAAAGCGAAATATTTCTCCTACGATTCAAGATATGTTGCCTGATGACATTCAAGTATTGCAAGGTCATAAAATACAAGAAAAAAAAAAATTATTAAGAAATTCACCCTTAATACAAGAATTAATATATTCAGATTCTGATTATCGTCTTCTATCTTTAGGTGTGTTTTATACATTTCTTTTTTTACAAAAAAAAAAAAGAATACTATATTACGATTTATAGGAATAGAAGACAATTCAAATGATAAACGCATTCTTTACTTAAAACATGCACTTGTTGTTGAAGAAGATAAATTACATGAATTAGGAATAAAAGTTGGAATTTTAGGAGAAAATAGAACTAATTATGATATCTTATTAATGCCCTTGGAAGAAAAGGATGAAAAACAAGACAAAATTCAATTGTCTGATAAAAGAGAAGAACATGAAAGAATAAAAAGTATTAAAGATACAATACAAGATACAGTGAGTTTTTAAAAGTATGTTTTAAATGCATGCATTTATTACAAAATATTAATCATATTTTTATATTTAATATTATAGCAAATATCTATAAAAATTCAAAGACTTCCATCTTTTGAAACTGAACCTGATTTAACACAAGATTTTTCAATGAAAACAATTAATATTTCACCAAAAGGATATAAAATTGCTCATGAAAAAGCAAGAAAAAAATGGTTAATTAGAGAAATAAAACGCCAGGCACATAAAGAGATAGATACATATTCAGTAGCAACAATAGATTAATTATTTTCTTAAAAATAAACTAAGAATTATAAGCATATTTGTTATATTTACAATGTAAATTATTGTAATGTGAAATAACTTTATTTTCTTTTAATTGGATTTAATTTTTTCTAAACTTATATTCTTAACTAAAATTTGAGAAAATAATAATAATTTTAATATAAAAGTTTTATTAACAATAGAAATAACACTTACCAAACATTATTTTATTTGATGATAGAATGATTATATATCACTCAATATAACTTACAATGCTGTCATATAATCAAATATAAATTTTACAAATTTTTATTTCTGGCAATTGTATTTTTAAATAAATAAAATTTGGGAACTTTTATTTTCTGAAATAAGTACATGATTATTTGCAAAATAATTATTATAAAATATACAAGAAGTAATTAAAACAAATACAACAAACATTTTCTGTTTATAACAAACAATTTTTATTGAATGTTTGTTAAACTGAAATAAAATAAATTAAACACAAATCAATGTTGATTGCTATTTCAAAACTATTTTATTTTTCATGTAATTACTTAATGTTAATGTGAACTAGTAACAATTAAATAATTGAAAATATGTGTCTATATTTGATTTTCTAAAAGATTTATTTCAAACAGTAATTTAATTATTTTGTATTTAATATTACTATGTAATATTGAATAATGATGAATATACAAATTATAATATTTTTAGTTACATAAAAAAAAGGATTGTTAATAACTAATACAAAATAAAAAAAATTACTTAAAATTATTTATAACACGCATTGAAAAAAATTGTAAATAAAAATACTGATAATTTTGTATATCACATAAAATATCATTAAACACAGACACATATAATCAAAAATAACGCTTGTAGGATATGTGATAAGGGTGGATAAACTGAGTACAATAAGACAATGTAAAAAATATGCTTATAATTGGTAATGCCTAATAATGCGCACTAATGCTGATATTTTACAAGGAGATACACATATAGGTACATTTGAAGCAATGCATTTCTTTCATGATTAAATTTTGCATTGTCCTTATATAAATAATTACTGTACCTACTTACTACCATTATATATAATAACAATATATATGACATTAATTTAATCCCAATATGGGTTAAATTGTAAATTATATTGTGTTTTTTTCCATTTACAAGTGACAAATTTACTGTCCATTTGTGTTGGTTTACATTTAGTTAAAACATTTATTATTTAAGATATACTTCCTTGCGACCTATTATTTATGAATAATGACACGCATATACAAGGTACAAAAATTAATATCTTAACAAGTATATTTGGCACAGAAACTTTGACAATAAAAACTAGATCTCACAAAACCTGTACAATTCTGGTGTTACATGTAAATTGTTTTTTGTTGCTTTACTCTAATGACATTTATTTATAATCTACAAAGTGATTCAACATAGTTTTTTTTTTTGATTTTCAATTGCGATATGTATTAAAATTATGATAAAATCTGAAATATACTGCATACATTTGGAAACATTACATGTATTCTCTAGCTATAGCGATATTGTAATCATTTAAATATTAAATGGCAGTAAATGATTTAGTTATTCTTATAATTAACTAGAACAATCTAGTTTTACTCTCAGAATCTGTGCCTCGTTAGATTTTTTAGATTTGAATTTTTTATAGTTTTATTTTCAATAATAAAATAATATATCGCGTGTCATCTTTTTTTATAGGCTGCAAAAGAAATTGAATCATATTACAATTACTAAAAATATCAAAAATGAAACTATTTCGGCACTTCTTATTAAGTTGAATCTTTAATTATATGTTACAGCTATCTATTACTGAACATTTGTCTACATGATTATAATACAAAATGAAAAAAATGATAGTGATGATTATGCATATATGAGTAAGATTATTTGCAATTATTCGCATATAATTATTACAGCAGGTAGATGATAAAAATGAATGACTATTTATATGTATATGTAGTTTTTTTTTAAGTTCAGTCATGTGTTCATGCAATTGTATTTTATAAATAAAGTTTCTTGATAGAAAATAATTTATTAAAACACCTCCAATGTCTGATTCAAACAAAACCTAATTACATTTTTATCAAAATGTATAATGAACTAAGTAATGTATTGATTTTTAATAAAAGATTTTAATTCTATTTAAAATGTCAGAAATTTTATATAAATCAGAGAAATTATATAAAATCATATCTTTACAAAATATTTATGAATATTATTTGCAGCCATATCAGGATATTTAAAAACAAAAAATCATTAATGATGAAAATAATGTATTAATAAATATGTTTAAATAAATTGAGTTTTTATTTTGTGTTGTAACTAAATAAAGTAATAAATAAAAATAAATCTCTGAGCCTTTAGATTAAGAATTAGTTTATAGTTTATAGTTTTGACTTTTGAGAATTAATTTGTAGAAGTGTTTTATGTTTTGACTTTTATATCTTTCATAAGTAAAAAGTATTTATTGCTGTATCATTATAACTATAACACTATAACTGAACTTTTAAATTATATTCAAAATAATCTGCAAATATATAAAACAAGATGAGATTACGACTTTTTCATGATTACTTTTTAGCAAGGATGGAATTTTTTGCATTTACAAGAAATATAATTTTTTTATATGTGACTCTAGCTATATAATATAAGTGTATCCAATGAAATTTATATTAAATTAATTATAATTACTATTTCTTGTTACTTTCTGTATATCAATCCCTGCCATTATCTTGGATTTTTATAGTTATGTAACGAAAGTTAATAACACAATCTTACATTTAGCAGCACAGACACAAACAGTATTTTTTTTCTATATTGTAAGGAACACACGTGAACTCGTTTTCAAATTATTATATTATTAAAATAGGCGGGGCTACGAAGCAATGTCTGACATAAGTTGAGCCAATAAAGCTGGCTCTAAAAGTCCATGTGTTTGCCCCATTCTTTCCAAATTTCGTACATCCTTATCTACTGCCTCTAGTGCTCGTTCCAATTCTTCTTCTTCTTCTCTTGATGGTTCATATTCACCATTTCTGCCTTCTGGAAACAAAATAACAAATCTTATTTAAAAGAGTTATTCATATAAATATTATATTAGATTTATATAAATTAATATTAATAAAAAAATGATATCATTATACTTACCAATAAATAAGTCATTAAAAGCATCAGCAGGTAAGTTGTTGAGCACATTGCCAAAATCATGCTCTGCAGAATCCAAAGAAGGAAACACTTCATGATCTCCCAGATCTTTAAGTCCTCCTCCAAGACCAAGTCCTAATCCTAAATTTAAGTTAGCAGAATTTGAACTTCCCTGTGCTACAGTATTCAAATTATTCAAAGTTTTTGTCTGATTTTCACTAGAGTTTATTTGATTCAAATATTGACTTTCCTCATGTACTAGAGTAGGATCTTTAATCTCAAGTTTATTTGCAGGAGGCCGCTTTCGTTTCTTCGGCCTGGATTTTGGTTTAGGCCTGGGAATTGTGGGAGATGTTGGTTTTTTACGAGCTTTCTTTGGTTTAGATTCTTGGGCTTTACGATGATAATTATCCCTTTTTCTTGCATGTTCTGGACAAAGAGGTAATTCATGTGCAACATCAAACACAGGAATACAGCATTGTGTATTATCACTAAATTTGGCAGTGCAATGTTCAAATAAAAGTTGATCTCCATTTAACATAATATGACGAGAACAGTGACGAGTACAAGGTAGAGATGTCTGTTGGCATCCATCAGCTCCACAAAGTCCACCAACTAGAAGTGGCCCCTCTACCACCTTACTTGTACTTGGAGAACCACTTAAAGCTCTCGCTGTAGATGTAGGATCCTTGCAAGCAGCTTCTAACAGACACCTAGCCCTATCACGTAACAAAATTTCTGAATCTGTTCCACCTTTGTGTAACTGAAGTAGTCTTCTTCTCAATTGAGAACGTAATTGAGAAAGACGTGCAGAACGATTCAATGTCGAAGTATTTTCTCCAGAAAACCAATAACGTTGGTAAATTGTCATTTCATCTCCACTAGAATCACTATCTGATATTTCATCTCCAGCTCTAGGATAATACAACAGTGTATGGTCCCGACTTTGCCTTCTATTTTTTAGTCTTTGTAAATTTTCAATATGACGACGTTTTTGTTCGATTGCAAATTTATAGTCTATATGTTCACCATCACCACCACCACTGCCACCACCACCAACACTACAATCAGCATCTAATTCTACAGCACGGTCTTGTACAGCTTTGAATTCCGTATCTGGTATGGATGTTATCCTTATTCTTTGTTTCATACATTTTTCTTTAGTCTTACTATTTTTACAATTTTGCATTACTTTAGAATTTTTGGATGACACTACTGTAACATTTCTTCCTGTTGCTGTACCAAATGGCTCTGGTTCACTGAAAATATATGGATCAACATCTTGATGAGCCTCAGTTTTCAGCAAAGCCTTCAAACGATCCGAAAACTTCAATTTATTGTCCATGTTTGAGTTTTCGGATATAGGGACCTTCATTGATTACCGCTTTCTTTGTATTCTGTTCTACCTGCATTCTCAAACTTTCCAAATCAACTTTCTTCTTATCTAGATAAAACTTAGTTTACGCCATGTGCCTAGATCCAAGTCCATACATAAATATTTCTGAATTCATAATACTGAGAATAAAAAAATAAAAAGTTATTTTTATTGTATTGTATCACAGTTTGGTTGTTTTTGTATTTGTTTCAAACACATTAATGTTTACATATGCATCAAGGTAATATAACTAATAAAATGAATTTTTGTACAAAGTATAATAACTTATAAAATAGTCATATGCACTACATATACTAATAATGTTACATATATTAATAATGTGTACCCAGCTATCTTATTTACATGTATTTGCATATCTACAAAACTTAATTTTGTCATGAGCTGTGCTTCAATAGAAATATTAAAATTGTTTACCTACTATTTAGTATCAAATTTTGTAGTGAAATTTTACAAAAAATCTTATATAGTTAAATGACAATAAAATGTATTCTACGTTTTAAAAGTGCAAATAATACTTTAGGAATTAATAATGTCTAGATCAATTAAAGCTATATATCACTATATATGTTTAAATTCGCATATTATACATAATGTGTATCAGATGATTATTAAAATCTCCTGGTTCAAGCAATAAGCGTAAACTTAGTCCATGGCTAGATCAGGATAAAAACAATCCTTGCCTCGCATAGCAATTCACATTGAATATACTCTATACATTTTCAAATAATTTCATTACACAAAACAGCAAAACATTGAATGTAGATTCTAAAAGTTCTGATAAACTTTGACAATTCAAAGCCATATTAATAATCATTTTATCTCTATTGTTGACAGTACATGATGTTGAATATCAACACAGTTTGGTTATGTTCACTCCTTATATAGACAACAGGACATTGTGCAAAATATTGTAATGAAGTTTCAATAATACAGTCAGAAAATCTCATAAGATGAATCTTGTAGTATATTTATACCCTATAACAAAAGTAAACTATTCACAAATACTATCGCGAAGTTCTCTTTATGAACTCGTTTCGTTTAGTTTAACCGAGGTTGGGACAATGGAAATTAGTCCCAACAGTAATGGAGGTTGTTGCCCAATCAGAGGCAATCCAACCTTTTTCGTACAAAATACACTCCAACGAGATTGAAGATTCACGCACAAATTTCAGCATTCATCGATAATAACATTAGAAAGACATGTCAGATGTATAGAAAGCAAAATGGCGGACACTGCACACACGAACAGCTTCTGATGCGAAAAATCTTTTAATTCACTGTATTATCATTATGAATTCGGTATATAAACATTTTACATCTAGTTTAAGTGTTGACTAATTTCATATGATAATTTATGGAAACATATTTGTACATGATTTCGACTATTTCTGTTAGAAATGTTTAGATTGTACTTCGTTATTCATTTTAACATAACCTTTTAATTCTTTTACGTAGTATGTAATAGATCTAATTTATTTCATTCCCATCTTTTTTTCTTTTGCAATAGAATGATACAAATAAAACATGTACGATGATATTTCACTTCTCAATTATGAAATATACATTACATGATCTGATTTGTTTAATATTACATTGTATTTGTACTGTTGATTTCTATAAATGTATTGTTTCTTGTTAATATTTTAAAATATCATACGTTATTTGATTTTTTGAAACCTTTCTGATATTGAAAAAATAAATTACGTAATTATTGGTAAAATTATACTAACTAATATATTAAAAAATATTCAAAAAATGACTTTAAAGGAACTTTAGATTTTTGCAACATCGAATCTCTCGTAATGAATAAAAAAAAAAATCATAAAAGAAAACATCTTATGAAATTTAAAGCATGTGAAAAGATATTTTTTAATAATTAATAAATAATAACAGTCCATGACTTTTTCAAGTACAAGCAAGTACAAGTCTAAAATAATATATTATACGTAATTATAGCTATGGAAAATCAATGTGTAAATATCACAAATATTATCTACATGGAAAAAACAGTGAGTATAAAATAAATTATACAAATATTAAATATAAAATTGTGCAAAAAAGTCAATGTCAAAAGATAATTACATGAAGTTATACTTTAAGATAATTTTCGTTAGATTGTAATGAAATTTTCGTCAATTTTAGTTTCATGTTTATTATTTTTAACATTTTATTTAAATATTTAATTCTTGAATCAATAGATAACTACATCCTTTATTTATATAATAGGTAATTACAAAAGACAATTGAAATTCGTAAATCTAGTAATCTTGAAAAAATTGTTACCAATGATCAGCTGATTTTGACGTTTAAGATTATAACCTATTAATACAATGCAGAAGACCACCTGTTGATTTAATTCGTCCTTTTCAGTCGTAATAAGTAATTGCTTACTTATGTATGTATTATTAATACTCTATTATCTTTAAAACAAATAAATGATCTCAAATATTATATTAATTCTTTATTTTATTAAACAACATAAGTAAATTGTACAAACGAATGTTTTCATTTTTTTGTACATACTAAATGTTCATTTAGTATACACGATATTTAATTCTTTTGTTATTATAGAAGAACGTTTAACAGTTAGCATTTCTCTGATTGCATTGAACTCTTAAATTTTGTATTGGAAGTAAAATAATGTTCTCAGTAATATGTATTACAATCTTGTTTCATTTATATTTTTTTTTCCTTTTTTGTTATCTTTATATACACAATGATCATGTACGCAACTATTTTGCGTACTTAACATTGCTTTAATTATAATTTTGTGATTTTTCAAATACATACAACTACTAAAAATAGTGATTAGATTATGTACACATTATAAACAAACAGTACGTTTTACGATAAAAAGAATGATCACACAGATCACAAAAATATAAATTTTAAACTTGAATGTAAAATATGAACGATGAATAACAAAAAAATTACAAAATAAAATAATATACTTAGAAACATATTTTCATTGCATAAGATTCAATCTTTGTCTATTATATTTATAAATTCTGTACAAAAAAAAAGAAATAAATCAAATATTAAATATACAATGGTTTTAAATGACAAGTTCATTCTTACAAATGTTCAACAAGAATAGTATACAATAAACTGTGTATACATAACATATATTTAATCCCTCCGATCTCACCTGTTTGATATTTATAATAAATGTTTTCAATTATTTTGACTAGTGAATTTTTCTTGCTGATGTTTAGTGTGCATTACACAGATATAAAAAAAGTTTACACATTAACTTTTTTATCATGTTTTCCACGTCATAATTCAAAATTCACTTCTTTAATGTGCAATTTGAATATAATATGCATAAAGTGACGAATGAAGTGAGCAAAACATTAAAGATTACTTAAGTACAAAAAAATTTTAAATGCATCAAAATACTATCTTCATACGCCATACGTAACGTGAATTCAATTATAGGAATCATATATTGCAACCAGATAGAAATTATATTTTATCTAATTGATATGTAAAGCAGTCGTATATGTATAATTAACTTTATGTAGTATAAGTAAAATTAAACGTATGATCCCCTTTTTTAACATCATTCTTATTAAAAAATTGATCCAATTGCTTTCAGTGTTGAAAATTTTTTTTATTCTATATTTTAATTGATTCGAGTTTTAATGATATTAAAGTCTTAATTTGAGGTATAGTTTGTGGTAGACCCAAGGGACGGTAATTCTTTTTTCTTATTATAAAAGTTGTATTTGAAAATTATGAATTAGATAATAAATGTATGTTACGTAGGTTTTCGTTGAGGTTTTTGTCCTTTAATAATAGTTGGCCGGCCTTTTATGTAACCTTTTTTGCGACGTGGTGTCTGTAACATTAATGTCCCCCACCCCACAATTTCAACTACATTTCAAAATTACACAATGTTATAATTTAAAAACGGAGAAACGATACGATTAAAAATTCCAAATAAAATAAATGCTTTAATTGTTTATCATAAGAATTCTCACCTTTTTACTGACATATGAATTAGCATTTCGTGCAACAATTCGTTTGGATATTGGAATGCTTGGTCTATTAAATTCATTTGGTTTTTTCACCCTAAAATTATATTTCAATAAAAATATTCGTAATTCGTAAATACAATTATTTAAAAAATTTTAAAAATCAATTTTTATAATCATGTATTATTATTAGAATTACCTGTAAATTCTAACAAGCCAATGTTCAGTTGTATAGGCTTCTTCCAAATATGTTAACTGAAAATTTTTATTCCCTATTTCAGCATTACGCGTGCGGTCATAACCAGATGGTGATCGATAATCAATCTTTACTTCTCCAAATCGATAATAGCTTAGTTTATACATTAATGAATTCAAGAGGGTAGGTGAACCTTCTGAATCCACACGAAATTCTCCTCTTTCGGTAAAATAATCACTTTCACGAATGTCTTGTGGATGTTCGCCTTCTGCAATTCGGACCATCCAAAGGAACTTATTAACATCATCTCCGGAATATCCAATCATTCCTCCAAAAATAACTAATACATAATCTACATCTAACGATGTCATAATTTCATAAGCAGCACTTTCATTTGAGCTCATTGCTTTTCCAACTAGAGCTATATGTGAATTATTCCAAGTGTTATTGTCCACAAGCGTAGTTCTATATTAAAACGAAGAATGCTTCATATTGTTTTATTTTAGAAAAAGATTTAAATAGATTTTATTTTTTAATGATATATACCTATTAGCCATTCCAGCAATTTGATAACCATAATCCCACCAACTCATAATTCTAGCATCAATAGGTGTATTTTGTGCTAGCCAATAATAAGCTTCTCTAAAATCATCAAGAATCGCTCTACCACCATCATTACTGTATGATGCCAAAACAATTGAAGGGCTAGAATATGCATTACTTGTAATCCAAGTGCAATGCAATGTAAACATCATCATTAACACAAATGCACCAATGACAACACCATTTCGAAGATTAACACCTAATCCATCACCATTACCCCTAGGTCTCTCATGTCTCATTCTACGAAGTTTACCAGCTTTATCATAAAGCGCTCTACCAGGACTTCTTTCTCTTTCTTCTTCACTTTCTTCTTCACTTTCATTATTACTCCGATCTCTTTCACTGTCTTCTTCTTTAAAAAATAATTCAAGAAGATCACTGAATGCTATTCCAGCAAGCATACAAACAACTGGAGTTAGAGTGAGCATAAGCCTCACCATCACCCCAGCGAAATAAACAGCACTTATAGCATATAATATAACTGTAAAAAAATTATAATTAATATTGTGTAAAAAATCAATAAAAAATTTCATTATAAGATCTTACCAAAGACGCGTTCATCATTAATACGTTTAATACAGTACCACAGGCCCACAGGAAATGTTGTAACAAGAATGTGTAAATCAAAGAAAAAGCTAAACCATGTTGTAGGTTGATGTTCAGAAACAGATGCTATTATTGGAATGTGTATCTTTGCATAACCAGTATCCCAAAGTGAATAAAATCTTCCACTCCAAGGTGCAACAATACCAGCATAGGTTAAACAAATTAAAATCAATAAAAGAATAGCAGCTATAACTGCAACCACTCCTCCAAAGTATTTCATTTCAGATTTTGTAAGTACAGTTCTTAAATGTCTACAATAACAAAATTACATTGTACTAAAAAATTTAATACATTAACATTATACAAACATACCTGAGAGTTGCCACAAAAATTAATAATCCAAACACACCTCCAGCTGCCATGTGTTCTGATGTTCTTATTGGTTGAAAACCAACAAATGGTATTTGCATACTCAATAAAAGTCCCAGAATATAGAATGTAGTGTAACTTGTAAATAGACGATTACTGAATCGATTCATGATCAGTAATGCAAAAACATGAAGTGGAATTAAATTAATAATAAAAACATAACCACCCCATGCAGATACCATATAGAAGTAGGAGAGAGCAGTCATAGAAGCCCAAAAAATAGAGCCAGTTTTAACTGACTTAACCCAAAGATAATATGTAATTTGCAGTGCAAAAATAGCAATGCCTTCATTGTCATAACTTCCTGCTACAGATCTTGAGATGTAACCAGGTACAATTGCAATAAAACATGCTGCAAATAGACCAGCTCCTGCACTCCATATCTCTTTTGTTAATAAGTACGTAGAAATGGCTGTAAGGCCACTAAATATTGGAGCTAAGAATACACAAATATCTCTTATATGCACTGGGATATTTAAAGAATGTAATATATAATGTATAGATCCAGATGTTATCATTAATCCAGGATAAACAGTTCCACCTACAATACGACCCAATGGGTACCATGCTCTTTCATCAAACCAATTCAAAAAATTATAGAATCCATGTTGCACCATGTATGCCGTAGCTCTGTAGTTAAACCTAGATTATGGACGAATATTTTATTTTATAATAATAAGTTTACATACGCATACATATGTAAAATGTAACTAATTTACTTCAATTAAATTGTTCTTTACATTACAAAATCATAGGTAAATTTTAAATAAAAAATCTCTGAACTAAATTAAATTTTATCACATAACGTAATTGCGTAAAAATACGTACCAAGGATCGAATTCATGTATGATACTTTCAAAACGTATCACTGCAAATAAACGAGAAGCAAATCCTGAGATCCAAGCAAGTAGCAAAACAGTAAAAGTAATAAGAGAATTAAGGCCAGCAGCGTTCGTCAACGTAGAAGTTTTCATTTGCTTGGACGTCGATTTCTTATCGGGGAACATATCTTTTCTAGTATTTATAATGGATGTTTTATTTGGCAACATATTTTTCTTTTCTTTTTTTCTTTCTTCTTTCGATTTGCGAATGGAAAATATCCCCGTTAAATTTTAACAAATATCTGCCATAAACATATTAACATTTGTTTCTATTCAACACGTAGCAAATTAAGCAGCCAGCAACAAATTACCAAACCACTATGCTTAGGCTAGGAGTTTAAGACACGTTGAACACCGGCTACGTGTTAACCATGAGTTTAACAATGACGTTCTTTTACTTTCATAGAAATACGAATACAAGAATGGTATGTTCGAATATGCGTTTAAATGTACACCACGTTTGATATGAATATCAAGTTGTCGATTAGTTTCATTGATACATAAAATTAGAAATAATTCCTCTGCCAATAGAATTAATTTTACAGTAATATAACATCCGGCCTTCGACTATATAAATACAGATACTGCCACCTATACTACTGACACTTGTCTTAAAACATCATATCCGGATAATCGCATTACTTAATGACTAGTTCCTATCACTGAGAAAATAATATTTCCTGTTTTCGTTACAAACGTACAAGAAGTAAAATATTTTGGTAATTACCAAAAGAGTGTCAATCGAGACATTACAAAAAAAAATAAAAATTTGAGAAAGTGAAATAGGTATATGAAGAAATATAAATTATTTTTTTTACCACGCAACTAAAAAATCTTAAATAAACTAGCAGAATTGAATGCTGTGAATGACAAATTTTGTTAAACAACGCGGATAAAAATTATTCTCTCATGTTTAGCAGCAAAAAGCAATTAATAAAACGTACTGGCAAAAACCCTGTCGGTCGTTATGATTTCTTAAAACTTTTAGCTACAGAATTTCAAACTACCAAATCTAAAGGTAAAATCATATGAAAAAGATACAAATATAATGTTTATATACTTGAGATTAATAAAATATATTATTTTCGTAGAAGCGAGAGAACAAGTTTTAGCAAATCTTGCTAATTTTGCTTACGATCCTATCAATTATGGATACATAAGACAGCTACAAATAATTGATTTGTTTCTTCACACTTTGTCAGAAAACAATATAAAGTTAGTACGTTTTGCGGCGGCAGCTATATGTAATCTATGTGCTGGTAGGTATTTGATATTTGAAAAGATTTATATTTTAAATATATATTTGTTCATAATCATTATTTAATATGAGGATTGTGTTTTAGATCCGATAAATAAATTATATATTTTACGCAACCAAGGCATCCACCTATTAACATCACTACTCTCCTCACAAGATGAGGATACAGTACTATCAGCAATTACTAGTTTAATATTTCTACTTATCCCTGACTATAAGAATGAAGTAACAGCTGAATTAATTGAAAAAATATCTGGTCTTTCAAATTGTGAAAATAATCGTATTAAAAACTTAATAACGATATTTCTAAATGACTGCACTGATGTAAAGGATAAAATTGAAAATTCTAAGAACACATAAAAGTATTTTTGTACAATATATATTATACATATTTAATAAAAATATATAGATGAAATAATATATTTGGTAAAATAATTGATGAAATAATTGAGATATAATATGCCATAATTTACTTTAGAAGTAAAATGAAGTCTTCAAAACCATTTTTTAAAATGTTAAAAACATATGTGCAAAGATATTGCACTGGGCCTCCGAAAGTTGGAGATGAAATATCTATTTTTAAAAAAATTACAAAAGATGATATATTAAATTTTGCTAAATTAACTGGCGATTATAATCCAATACATTTTGAGGCATCAAATAACCTTGTTCATGGTGCTCTACTTAATGGTTTAGTATCAGGAGTAATTGGTACAAAAATGCCAGGTCCAGGGACCGTGGTAATTGGTCAAAGTTTCACATTTCCAGCACCATGTTATGCTGGAGATACAATAGAAATAAAAGTACAAATTATTTCTGCAAGGAAAATTATGAAATGTGAATATATTTGTATTGCAAATGAAAAAAAAATAGTTTTAAAAGGAAATGCAACATTCATCAAACGATCATTAAATGTCAAAGCATAATACAAATTATTGTTACATATATTTATTTGTATTTTAAAATTATATTCATATTAAAATAATAAAACAAGTTTTTTTTACACATACAATATGATTACTATGCCATTAGGAAATATTGCTTATTAAGTATATGACCCATTTTAATTGCTGACTTCACAGAACAAGATACTTTCAGCAAAACTTGCAAGTCTTATTGGTTTTCATTACTTCATGCAGGTGATGCATATAATTTAATTAATGTAAGTATCATTCGGATATTTTATTAATTCTTTACAATTTATTACAGATTCTATATATTTCTAATGCATATATAGCTTTTCTTTATTTGTAATTATTAATTAAAAGAAATTTTACATAAATACAAAGTATTTTTTTTACAGATAAAATGAATCCAATATTTCTACTATCAATTCTCTATTTCTTATCTGCATCAGCAACTATACATAGTAAAACTAAAATAAAACCTTTAAATGATACTCTTACAACTTCAACTGAATCTCCAATTGGTTGTGTTTGTGGAATTTTTTTAAGTGGACAGTTTGAAAAAGGCAACAAAGAGCCACCTAAAGGAAATCCTGCTATTTTTCATAATTTGCCTGGAACATTTCCATGTACTCCAAGTGGAAATAGACTCTGTACAAATAAATGCTTGGACATGGTAAGTTAATCTATAAAAACACAAATTTATTATCACACATATAATATTAATATTACAGTTAATTTCTTGCTTTAAATAACAAAAAGTATTAAATATTTTTTATAGATTATTAAATATTTGCCAAACAGTTCTAAAATACTATGTAGTTCAATAAAACATAACTGTCATAAAGAAAAGGTGAGTTTTATTATACTGTTTCAAATTACATTGAATAATATTATATATATATATGTTATATTGTATAATTTCTTTATGCTCTAGGCTTACTTATTTATCAAGAACTGTAAAAGTGGCTGGATTAATACAAATCTTTCTGCTGGAAGAGAGTATTGTTGTAAGGGTGGCACACCATACAAATGTCCAGTATAATATATAAAATGAATATCTTTTATTATGCTTTCAATTTATAAACTTTATACCTTTTTAATTCAATAAAACTATATTTGATTCTGCTACATTTTCTTCTTAAATATCCCGCTTCTTGTCTAAATATAACTTCAAGAACATCATATATACTCTACAAAGAATCAAAGGAATCCCAGATAAATATCTGAAATCCTCATTCTATAATTAAATTATTAGATATAAAACTCTGTTCTATTTTATGCATTTTAAAAAAGAAAAATTTTGACTTCAAATTCTCTATAGTTATTGGTACATGAGGTATGATTTTGATCTTTAATTTGTGCTATTAGGTCAAGTTCAGGCATAACCCCAATAATATTTCAAATGACAATGTTAAATTTAAATTAATCAGCTATTTTAAATTTGTATCTTAAACACTCTATATTTTATAGGCAGTCCTTACAAAAGCTAATTTTTATTGATACAAAAAAAAAAAAAAATGAAAGATTATGTTATTTATATTATTGTCCTATATTATCAATAATGATAATAATTAGAGTATGTAACTAGAAGAACATGTGGAACTTTCTATAATAAATTCTATTTTAAATAAAAGCCAATATAAATAAAGATTGGTAAGAAATATGTGTGCAAGACTTTTAGCATGTCCTTTGTGCTCACAACCAAGTTTTTTAACATTGGATGCTTTGCGAGCAGGATTAATAAGTGTAGCAACACGACCTCTTACATGTCCTGTGTGTAATGAAATATTGCTTGGTATCGACAAACTTACTATTCACTTATTCAGCCATACTATTAATTTAAGCAATAGTAATACGACAGAGACATTCAAACATACAAATATTACTACTAGTACTCATAATCCAGCATTAAATAATTTAGAAAATATTACTTTCCAAGATTGGAATTTATCTAAAATACAAAATACAGATTCAAGTAAATTTTCACAAAATAATTTAAATATTCAAAATAGTTCAATATCTTCTCAAAATTTGCAAAATACAAAGGATGAAGCTTCAGTTTTGAATTCAGAAGTTTCTATCCATGATCAAAATCCATTAAATCATGTATCTCAAATTACATTTCCACAAAATTCAATTTGTGAAAATAAAGAGATACATACATTTCAAAAGAGTAAAGAAATAGAATCAGAAAAACTCTCTCAACAAATATTACAAGAAACAATAAAAGTAAATTATGCTACACAGTACTTTACTCATCAAAATGTTAGACATGTAAATTTTATACAAAATTATCCTGAAATAGAAAATGAAAATGTCCAGACATTTAAAAACTGGATGCAAGATCAATATTGTGAACAACCAAATTGTAATGTGGTAGAAAAAGTGGACACGTCTATAGATAGCAATAAACCTTACAACAATGAACAAATGATAATAAATAAATTGCCAAACATTGCAACTACTTGTATTAATATACCACTAGAAAAAGCTAATGACAAAACCATACAAGATGATTCATTTGCTACATGTAATAAAAGTCAAAATCAAAGTTTTAAACATAATGAAATATTACCTCAATTCAAACTTATAAAAACATTATCATCAAGACAAAAGACTGAACGATGCAACATATGTGGTTTTCATTTTCCTGATCATAATATTTTGCTTTTACATAAACAATTAGTACATATGATCAACGAAAAAGATATAAATATTATTCCTGAAAATTTACTTAAGAATTATTCGTGTCACTTATGTTCTAAAGTGTTTAAAATGAGAGGTAGTTTAATGGTGCATATGCGAGTAGCACATATGGGATATAATTTAGGTAACTTCTTACAATATTGAAAATATATTAGTATCTATGTATCATTTAATAGATGTTAACATATATATATACATAATTTCAGGTCCTCTAGTCAAAGATGGACAAATAGAACTCATACTTAATGAAAATAAATTCAACTGTCCCACATGTGGAAAAAAATTTAAAAAGGTAATAAATAAATTTCTTTGAATATCTTTTTATAAAAAAATAAAATAACTTTATTATTTTAGGAACAACATGTAATGCAGCATTTAAAAACACATGAAGCTAAACAATGGGAATGTGATGTATGCAGTAAAATGTTTACAACAAAATATTTTCTAAAAAAGCATAAGAGACTCCATTCGGGAGAAATGCCTTATAAGTGTAACATATGTAACAAAACATTTACTTTCCAACAATCATATCATAAACACAGATTATACCATAAAGATGATAAACCATATACATGTACAACTTGTGGCAGATCATTTAAAGAATTATCTACTTTACATAATCATGAGCGAATTCACACAGGAGAAAAACCTTTTGCATGTGAAACTTGTGGTACGTTAATTTTTATAAGAATTTTATTTAAGAATATTAATTTGCAAATACCTTAGAATAATGCATGTTTTGTTTTCAGTTATTACTAACAATTTAATACGGATTGTACTTTCTGCAATGTATGTAGTTTATTATTATATGTAATGCAAATACAGCTTATATTTGGAAATAATATCTAATTATTACAAATAATAATTATATTTACACAGCATATGTCTGAAGAACTTTATAATTACTGATTGTTTTTCATAATGAAAAAATAAATTAAAATAAATTAAAATGGTTCTTTTAGGAAAATGTTTTCGTCAACGTGTTTCATACTTGGTTCATCGTAGAATACACACAGGTGTGATGCCTTATAAATGTACAACATGTGGAAAAAGTTTCAGATACAAGGTATATAGTATAATTAAATAAAGGATATTTTTATGACTTTACTAATCATTTATTATTATAGGTGAGTCAAAGAACTCATAAATGTTCAACAGGAAATGCACAACAAACAAATATCATGGATCAAACCACTATCAAGGATCAAATGTCAGTAAATTTGCCAGATATAAGAGATGACATGTCTAAAACACAAAAAGAAAATCAATTAATGTTGGATATTGTACATAATGAAGAAAACAAATATGTGTTAGTAATAAATACTCAAGGTCAACAACTTTTGACGAAAGAATCTAATATTGAAAAAATAAAAGCTATAAATAAAAAACAAAAATTAGAAGAATGTGCAGTAACGAACAATGAAAATGAAAAAACAAGAGATATGTGGAAATCTGACATTCCTAATGATTCTATGTTTAAGAAACCCATTGAAAGTTACAAAGCAATACAGTCAAAAAATGAAAAACCATTTCAAGATACAAATGATTTTTTTTCAATGGTGATGTCTCCACTTGAAAATGGATCACCCACTGCTGAAATGGAACATTTACGAGTATCATCTCCCATACAGAAAAAGGATATATCAAAATCTTTTGATACTTTCAAAAACACAACACATGACATGGAAATGAATATATTCAATGCAGATATGGAACAAAGCTACAGCGATAATAATGCAAATAATTTGCAAACCATTAATGAAGAATCATTGAAACAACTCTTGTATAGTATTGATGAGAAATAATTACTGGACCTTCTATAAGAAAGAAAATGCGTTATTAGTTATCACTGTTACAAATAAATAAGAATTCTTTAAAGAAAAATCAATTTAAAAAATTATAACAAATTTTTCTCTAGTCATTTAAAAATACATTAACAATAAAAATGTATCTATGTTTTCGAAACGCAAAAAGTTGTTTACTTCTTCGTAAAAAGTGGCACAATAGTTACGGTCGTTGAATTAACCTTCAAATCGTTTAATAACTTCATTAAATATTTTTCCGAACGAATGTTCAATCACAATAATTAGCTTTCATTAATGTTTATATTTTTGATTGATATACTTTCTAATTTATCTTCTCTGCGCAATAAGGCTATAATATTATTTTCGTCATTGATTGGTTAATAAAAATTGAATAATATATATTAACCAATCACAATTTGAAAAACGTTACAGTATGACTACATAAAGGGACACACGTGCTTCAGCTGAATCAACCATACAACCTGCATCGCGTATAATCCGCGGTCGAGATATCGTAGCAGACGACGTTCTAATCGACTTGACAGCACAGTCTGGATTTTCACGTGTCCTCTTGTACATCGCATTGCGTAACTGGAGTTCGACTTCCAGGGAGGAGCTCCCTTTTTCGGTAAGCAGTTATTTCAAATAAAATCAACGAGATCAAAGGGCATTTAATAATTGCAACATGCATAACGCTTCTGTCAAACGTTTGTTCTGTTTATTTGTTAATATATTTGTTTATCACAAATTAATCCCAAATGTAACTTGAGAAATATTTCAACTTATTGGCCAATTGGATACTACTGAATCAGGTTTTCAACCAATCATAATGATGTGTACATACTTGTCGCGATCAAACAGCAAAACTAGAATTCGTTACGACATCGCAATTGTGAAGTTTATGTGCTTTCTCGGAAGACTTAAAAAGTGAGACAGCCTGACAGTTGTACTATTGCTTTACAATTCCCTGTGCGTAACGCATCTATTTGTGATAAGCTAATCGTATTTTGAGCTTGAGCAGTTTAACGTTTGATATGTCATATGTCATCCGTTGACAAATCATATTTATTCGATCGTCGAGTCATTTCTTAATAATTTTTCATGCTTATGCGTGCGAATAAATCTGAATCGATCGTGCTCGTTCGAGAAACGTATAAAAAGCAAAAATTACGTCCGATACGTCACAACAGCGTACAATGTAACAGCAACATATTGAGTCAGACATACATACACGCACGTACACGTGTGCGACACACGTATGTATTGTAACGTGTATGAAATATAATTACAGTGTGCGTATATAAATAATACGTGTACGTATACGTATATGCAGACGCGTGTATATTTTAATCAGGGAATAGCTAATTATACATTTAGAAATTTCTCATTTGACATCTGGTCAATTGTTTGCGATTAATTTGACGCTGCATATGAGGACAAAGGAAAAGTTGGCATTTTAAAAAAATCGCAGCGAGATGGCTATTCGCGCCGGTTTTGCATCTGCTGTTCCGTTATGAATTGCGATTTTACTACACGCGGATACCGTGTTTTCGAACGCACCTACGTTGATTCCGAGTGACGTTTCCTGATGGGGGCGGAGCGTCCTCCAGCTTCCCTATTCTAACCAACCCGATCCCGATAGCCGTCGCATTCCGCTGAGTTGCTTCAGTGTGCCTCGGCAGTGCGTTTGGTGCGTTTTTTGGTGTGTGCCTGTGCACATAGCCACTCGCCAACGTACTTACGTGCCTGCGCGAGATTTCATTTCCCTGTCGTATGTAACGAGGAACGTTTGCGCTTATAAAAATCATCGACGTGAAGACATTTTCCTCGCAATGCCCTGGGCATGTTTTTCCGACATTCAGGTAATTCCTATTTGCAAATTGGGAATTCTTTCTCTCCTCTTGTCTCTCTTTTCTCTCCCTCCCTTCTCCCCCATTCTTCTTCTTTTTCTCCCCTCTTTGTCGAGGACCTGCATACCCAAGTAGGGTTCTCTTTTTCGAGGACCTAAACCTGAGGTCACACGGTACGAGAGTGATGAAACGAAAGAGAGAAAGAGACGAAGAAAGAACTCGTCCTCCATTACTTGTTCGCAAGCAAATGGTGGCTTGCTCGCTCGGTCTTTGTTGTAATTATTTACGTTTCTTCGCTGAATCCTTACGGTTATATTAAACTCGTTCGCGGCTTCGTTGCAACTATGTAATTGCTGTATTCTTAGAAGAGATTCTATGATGTCAACGGCACAATTTCGCATTGTGCATGATATAAACGGACACCAGTTGTAGTGTTTATTATGATACTTGGGTTTGTTACTATCTCTTTCACTGCGGAGGAAAATATTAATTGCGCATTGCTTTTGCTGTATTATTTAGTTATGCTCCTCTTATCTCAGTGCCCATTGATTTATCGTACTAAGTGATTTCTGTTTAATCTACTTAGTTACAATTATATATATACACGTATATATATAAATACATATGTACATATATATACATATATATACATCATATACTTTTTCTTGCTTTTAATGCATTATTTGTAAGTAGATATATACATTTCTTTATTACACTTTAATCAACATAATATGATTTTTTTTTATGCTTTTATATAATGAACATATTTATTTATTATTTTGTCAGTGTCTTTTATTTTAAAAATAAACGATATTTTTTTAATAATTAAAGTTAAACATGATAAAATATTTATAAAATCTATGTTTATAAAAAAAAACTTGAAATTGAAACTAATAATTTCAATCATTTATTCTTAATATTTATTACATTGTATTTCATGGTATTGTATAAATATTCAAATTAGAATTGTTTTTAACTTTGATTTATTATGTATGATATTTTTAATTTTAACTTCCATTTATAGACTACAGTATTGTCATTATATAATGGATATAGTGCCAAGGATTTTGACCCTTTCATAATTTCTTTGAGTTTTAATAATTTCTTTGAAATGGTCATATATTTTAGAATTTCAATATAGCACTTTACATGTTTTTCCTTGACTTAAACAACTATGATAAATATTTACTTCTCTTTTGTTACAGACAGAATAGTGGCATGAGTCGATTAATCTATGGCAGATCAACAAGATCAGTCGTCATCAGGGGGGTCTGTAGAGACGGCCAGTGCTTCAGCAGACACCTCTAAGGTTAGAGGGAAGAGCTCTAGCAGTGGTAGTAGTGGTTATAGAAAACGACAAAGCACTAGTTCTATTCCTGTCACAGTAGAAGAAAAAAGACGTAGACAAACTATTGGTGATCCACAATCGTCAGAAGTTTTTAATAATACTTCTTGTAAACATTCAAGTGATTCAACAGGAATTAGAACAAAAAGTGAATTTAAAAGTCATGGCAGTGGCTTAGACTCATATCTAGGTAATTACCCATTTAAGAAATATAATTATATTTCTTAAATCAATATGAAAATAATTCTTACATATTATCTTGATTTTGTTCTTATTTTAAAAGTGTTTTTTGAAAAGTGTATAGTTTCATCTATATTGTTTTATTATAGATAATAATTGGAAGCCACAACATAAAGTTCAACAATCGACCTATAATATTAGTGCGAATAGTACAAGAGCTCGTAGTGTTGCAAGAACAAGTTTGCCTGAGTTAAATTTAACAGCTATTGACTGTGTTGCATCAAGGACTCGTTCTCGTACACCACAAAATCCACAAGCCATATCACAAGGACATAATAGTTACAATTTATCACTATCCAGTGGTTACGATAGTAAAGAAGACTTAACATATAACAATTTGGTACCAACATCAACTACTACACCAGTTACTAGTCATCCATCCACATCAAGAGGAAGAGGTTAGTGTATTTATTGGTTTTATATAAAAAGTGTTGGTTGCAATGAGATGTGATGTGTGATTTGAGTGAACACATAATACAAGTTAAATCAATTCTAAATATATTAAACGCAAAATACATAAATCATAACAATAATAACATTAATTAATAAATTAATTAATATGGAACAATAATATATTTGCTAAGTATAATTAATTAATATGCATTTTTTGTAAATGGGCTCCTCTACATTAAAAAATTAATCATTTTTAATCTGAACAAGATTTTAATATTTTAAAAATGAATTTATGATTTTATATAATATGTATAGTTAATTTTTAATCTGTTTGTGTACTAATAATTCATTAATGTGTCAAATTTTATTATTTATAATATTTTATAATTTGTAATGATTAATAATAAATATGATAATTATTAGTTATTTAATAGAATATATTATACTTAATATAAGATATTTTTTGAAAATTTTTTTGTTGATTGTTCTTGTTGATTATAAAAGTATAATATAAAAGTATATATTTTTGTTGATTATTTTTAATAATATAATATATTATTTTCTTTAATATAAATTTTTTAAACAATTGTAATTAATTTATTTAAAAAAATAATGAATGATTTTCATAATAACTTTTAAAAAATTAATCTTTAAAAATATTTCGGACTAATTAAAATTAAATACATAAATATTTTATTTATATAAAATCAAACAAATTTTTGAAAGCAAATTAAATAATGATAATATTTCTAAATATACAAAAGTGAAAAAAGTAATTTACTTATAACATACAATGCATTTGATACAAGTAATATTATAGTCAATCTTTGCTCAACGTGTTTTGCAACCTTCATTTAATGAAGTAGTAGGCTAAAGTATAGGGTAGTAAAACTAGGATTTGATTCACAAATATCTTAAAATTAAAGAAAGAAAGTATTACCAAAATAAGAGTCATAGATCAGACTGTATCATTAGGCCTGAGGATGAGCGAATGTCTGGAAGGATTTGTGTCTGCTGTCAAAGCACTTTTTCCAATATCAACACAAACGTACCACCAAGAAGGTAAGCCTAAGGAGTACACACTTCGTACTACATTTTCTTACCCTTATTTTCTCTTACAAATTCATGAGTAGATTTTTTTAAATGAATACAGATCATTATAAATCTGCTCTCTAAATTGGTTTCCCATATGCAAGTATATCATATGAGATCAAATTGTTTGTGTCAAATTTGATTTATGCATGACAT